TCACCCCAAATGTGTTATAATAAATATAATTCCACAGAAATAAGAAATAATATTTATAGAGGCTACATGAGAACTTTGTTAATAATAAGTCTTTAGTTTAGGCAAGGCTTTTGGACAGAGACACATTTAGCCATGTATTTAATTGCTGTGCTGAATCTGGGCTTCTATTTGGCAGTTGAAATATTATCATCATTTTTAGAGCTCAGTATAAAACTCTTGTATATATAATAAAACTCTTGTATATATAATAAAAACACACCGAGAATCTTTACTGGGGCTACTAAACACTACTACCATACACACATTCAGTAGTAAGAATAAATAATAATGCATCAAGAAAGCAAAAAAAAAGGCCCATAAGAGTACAATGTAAAACTAGACGTGAAAATAAAATACAGCTTTATCCATTATTTCAATTGGAGAATCTCAGCTATTTTACCCTAAAGCATAAAATACTATCCATTTCAGCAGGCTGGGAAACAGAATAAAAGGAAGATCATCAGGTTACCTTCACAAAGATGGTGAATAGGAGCCCTCTCATTTCCCAGCTATCCTCATGTTATATCTAGTGCAGGACTAAAGCCCAGCTCCACAGAAGGAGGCTGTGCATGGTAAAAATAAATTCCTGTATCTTCCACTTAACCATCTAACCTGTAATATGGAGTTGACTGTTGCTGTGAATCAGGACATTCATGTCCCCAGACTTCCCTTCCAAACTTGGGCTTGGCCTTTTAATAAATCCCCATCAGCAAGAGCACTGGATCTGGAGAGAAAGACCTGAGTTAGGTTCTCACATCTGGCTGAGTGGGTGAAACTTGTGCCTCCTCTTTTCGAGGAGAAATGATCTAACCACACACTGATCATCTGTGCTGTTTGGGGAGTCTTACTCTGCATGTCTCTCACTCAAGCTGTCCTATCCTGAAGTTTAGAGCCGATTAGACAGTAAACCAGATGGTGCCTGACTTTTCAGCCCTGTGCTGAGGACATGCCCCGGACAAGGGGCATCCTGCAGTCTGCTTTTCTCTCTCTCTGAAACCATTCTGCTCCTAAGAGTCACTGCAGAGAAGATGGGCTCTACCCCACGATAGACAGCATTTCCCAGCAGACAGACATCACTTGGGAAGCCCAGGTGGGTGTAGTGGCACCCTGCATCTTCCCCTGTTGCTGAGGATGCCTCAAGCAGCAGCCTCATGTGCCCACAGAGCAATCAGGGTTTGGGCCTGGGGGTGCTTTTGTGATTGCAGTCAAGGCAGTCTCATTTTAAAGCTGTGTGCAGCTCTATTGGTTTAATTTTATTTACACTTTGTTCTCATTATCTGGGCAAGTTACTGTCCAACTAAAGCCAAAAAAAATAAACCAAGGAAGATAAGAGGCTGAATGAAACTTATGATCATTCATGTGCTCCTTTCATGGCAAGGCACATGTGAAGTGGGTGAGAGGACAAATGATAAGCACAGTGAAAGCTGCAATGGCAGCCTTGTTTTAATCTTCTGTAAGTTGCAATCTGTGCCATACAGTGTTTTTATTTGAAATGGTATTTATGTAGGAATCAATGTTTAATAATTAGAAATGTGCATTTGTAATTATTATGACAAATTCTAATTTAAATATTTACCAGACAATTGAAAAGAGCAGTTTAAAGTATCATAAATGACATTAAATTATTTATATATGAATTATATTAAAATATCATTTTAATATAATTTATATGGTTATATTCACATAATAATAACAATATAGAATATAAATATTATATATAATATATGTATTATTTTTATGTGTGCACAGTTCCAAGGACAACAAATAGGAAGAGCTGTTTTTTATAGGGGGTGTGTTTGTGTGTGTGTGTTTGTATTTGTGTGTAGCAGCATGATTAATTCCATAATGTGTCCAAAATGCTTGTAACTTAGCAGAGTCAAAATAGATATATTCTCTCTCTTGCTTCCTCTCATCCTTGGTGTTCCCCTGGAAGACAACAAGAACACAAACCATAATTACATTAGTCCACCCAAGGGAAGCATACACCTTCAGCAAGTAATTCCTAGCCTTCCAAGTTATTTCAAGAGGAGAGTTTTGTATGCTGAGAAGCAGTGTGACTAAATGCTGATTTTTTCATAGTCCTGGGGGCTAAATTTATCTCTCATTGAAGTCAATGGGAATCTTTCCATTGACATCAACAACAGTTGGATCAGGTCTTAGTACTTTCATTAGTGATCATTTTTTTATGTGTAAAGGTATCAGTGAAGTTCAGAAAGAGCCTGTAACTGACCTCAAACAAAATCTGGGATACTTTTACAAGGTGGAAAGGATGGGGAGAAGGAGATGAAGGGCAGGATCTATGAACAAGTAGTTTTCTTGACACGAAATGAATAGGACTATAAAGGCACTTTGAGGAAACATAATTGACACTTGCCTGAGGGCAGTTAATATACCTGACCTATCATTTTGCTTGTCCAGTGAAACCAGTGAGTTTTCAATGTTCAGTCTGTTTTAAGATGTGATTCTTCCATATGTGGGATCTATTTTTCTTGTTGTTTATTACCTGGATATATTCAAAGAGACAACAAATTTTAATTGCAGGTTATTGTGCTTGGCCAACCTCTAGGCTGGTGCACAAACCCATCTGATTTAAAAAAAGCCTTGAAAATCTTCAGCAAAAGGGAATTAAAGATATACTTTACTGGGCCAGTGTCAGGGCTGCCTCTTAGCTGGAGAGAAGGGATATTTGTACTTGCACCTCTGCCCCACACTTCTGAAACACTGCCTGCAACAATGACTGACAACGTTCTGGACCTTTAAATTAGTAAAGTTGTACTAAAATTCATGGTAACTTTGTGCACCAGAATCTGGTCCTGAAATGTATGTGTTGCACCCAGTGGTAATTTTATTATCAGTGCCTCCATTAAAGGAGAAACAAAAAGGAATATGACAGAAAACAAAAGAGAAATTTTAAATTACTCATTTAAATTCAGAAAGCTTCCAGGCAAACTGAGAAGGACCAATGGGAGAAAAATTGCTGGGAAAAAAGGAACAGAAAAAAGGGGGATGATGAAATCCAGGGATACAGGGAGGGAAAAGAGAGAAGTGAGAAGAGTAGAAACAAGGAAGTGGCAAAAGAAAAGGAGAAGCTGCTGTTTTAAAGAAATGGCAAAGGTAACTTACGGAAACAAAGCGAAAGAGAGTAGGGAATGGGATTTTAAAAAGAGAGAATAAATCAATGGTATAAATGGATTTAGAGGGACTGTGATGGGAAAGGCAGTAAGGAAAGAAAGGTAAGCAGAGGAGAGAAAAACAAAGAACAAAATAATTGTCTTTTCAGCGTTAAGGAAAAAAAGCAGTTAAAACAGCACCTATTTCCCTCCACAAAACATGTATTCATTCATCTGCTCATCTGCTTGAGAGGTAGTAGGAGAATAAGTAGCAGGGTTTGCCATACAGTCACAGTAAGAGTCAGTTCTCTAACCCTGTGGATTTTAACTCTCATTTTTGGACCTTTTAGGTCCATAGAGATCCAGCTCCTCCAGAGTGAATTTTGTTCTTGCTACTATAGGTTTGGAGGTTTTTTTTATTCACTTTTTGGAGAAACCCTCGGAAATAGCCCATCGGTGCCCAAAGATGCCCCAGACAGCTGCTGAAAAACTCTGGGCTGGGTGGAGATGGCTGATGCTACTTCTGCTGCTGATTGCTTCCAGAGTTCAAGCAGTAGCAACCTACATGCTGGAAAAACTAGTCCCAAGTTTCAACCCTGGTGTTAGTCCAGTCAGATGGGAAAATTGTCTCAAAATTAGTGCATGTTCTGGTGAGCAGGGGAGACTTGCCACATAGATTCAGACCTGAATATACCACGTAACAAAAATTATAATCAAGGTTAGTTACCATCACAGATGTAGAGAATAATATTTCAGGCAGAGTCAAAAATCCTGATTCTGTGCAAACTTTACCACGTGATAATTCCGAATTATGGAAACCTATTTCTCTTATATGTGCTGTGCAGGGAAAGATTTGTCTTGTCAGGGATACAGTAATTTCAAAACTTAATTCAAACCACAAAACACACAGAGAGGTGGGTTTTACTTATGTTATCATTACACATTTGATTTATTTATATCTCATTGTATTTTCCTCAGACTGAACAGGTTTAATGGAACTGTGTGACCAGAAACCAACGTAGGACCAGGATGGGACATGGAGATTTTAATTGTATTGCTCTGACTGATGTCCTGAGGTGGCATAAATGTTAGGACAGGAGAAAGCTTCTGCTGTGAGATTAGGAGTCTGTTCCTCTGTAGTTCTTTTTAGTAATGACACAGACTTATTTTAATTTTAATCAAATATCCACAGTGTATGAGGTAATGCCAAGGGATGTGGAGGCAGGACTTGGTCAGAAAGAGGTAAAGGAGAGAATTCTTTTCTCCACATTGGAGACTTCTGAAGCACTACAAGGATCTCACTGTGGGGTGATATTCAGCCTGATTTCTCTGCAGAGGGAAAAGAACCCAGTACCCCTCAGTCTGAGTGATGAACTGCTGTGCCTGGCTTAAGGGAAACAGAAGTTAAGAACATGGATGTTACCTCTGTCAAAAAAATGCTCTTTCAGGGAAACTGTCCCCTGCAGTTTGTGACAAAAGAGAGAAATGGATTGGAAAAGGACTGGTAAATGTTCAGGGGAAGGCAACTGAAAGATATTTTATAAGATGGAAAATTAAACATCAGGGGATCTGGTGGCTGTACTGGGTGTTACTTTAACTTCCTGATAGTATTAATTTTTAATTTTTTAAAATTTTTTTTTTAACTGGGGTATGATTCAATGTCTTTACTTAGATTAACGTAGCTTTTGTTGCAAAAGGGTTCTGCATAAAACCTATATGACACAGTGGAGCTGTGTTTATTTTTCATTGTGGTTTCATTTTCTTTTTTCACTGAAGGGTTTCAAGCCAGGACATGTTTCAGTGGCCTAATCTCAAACACGCACAGGAACAGTTTCTCTGTTTGTTTTGCAGGGAGGAGCTGGCTCACTTCAGGACAAGTTCAAGAATGAGCACAACTGGTTTGCTGTCAGATTTTGGTGCTGGCTGCAGCTCGTGGGCAATAATGAGACCAGCATTGTGTAGCAAACAAGTAGATGTCGGTGACCATCCACAACTGGATAACAACACTTGGCTTTCCAAGGTACTTCTACCCACATGGAAGGAGAGAACTGCTTTTTTTTCCATTATTCTACAACACTGCTCTGCTTAGCTGGAAATACTCTAAATACATTCCCACTTCTGATACAGTTACCTAAATAAATAAGGACAGACAGTTGCTAAATTTCTGTCATAATTGCAGCAGGCACCTGTTCTTAGCCACTAAAACCGATGTTGCTAACACATTTCCACAGTGCTTAAAGTTTTCCAACCAACTATCTTTTAGGAAGAAATTTTCCACATTTGGCTTCTGCTTGAGAGTATTTTTTTTTTTCTTCCAGCCTTGAAAAAAACAGTGCCAGCTGTCCTTGAGCACAGCATGAATTATAAAATTGTGCCTCTGAAGTAAAAAGAACTTCTTGGGCTATACCAAGGTGAAATAAAAAGCTTTGCTTCAGAAGAGCAAGGTTTTTGCCTGGCATTATACTTGACATTAATTTACCTAGATTAATAAAAATGCAGCAATAATATGTTTTGATAGAGCTAAGAATGATTTATCTATTGAAGGATGAAAAAGAAAAGCTTGCAGCTCACAGGAGCTGTAAATGGTGAGCTGCCAGGTAGGTCAGAGGAGTTCACTCCTGCCCTCACAAAGTGCACTTCTTTGTTTGCAGAGAACAGGGTGGGACTGCACCTTCCACAGGAGGGAAGCCAACGTCACTACTCTAGACTCCTTCCTTTCCCACCAGATCAGTATTTTTCTTTCAAGAGCAGGCAACTAAGTGCAAAATAGGAGTGTTAATTTCAAAATTACCAGCAATTACTTGGACATTAAAAAAGCTAAAAGTTTATTACTCCTGTCTGTGTGGCAAATATTATCTATATCTATATCTATATCTATATCTATATCTATATCTATATATCTATACACACATATACATCCAGACAACCATATGCACACAGAAGGAAGATACAGAGGGACTTTCAAACTACTATTAGAAATCTGTATCCTTGACAAAATGCTCCAAGTAATTAAAATATCCCAGAATATACACTTGAGACATACAACCTATTATCAAAACTGACATACTGAACATTATAAAATTAATCAACTGTTTGGAGCACTTTATTAGGATATACATTCTATATATGAAGGTATACATATTATATTGGTTTAGTTACAATATTCTCAAACATGAAATGTCCTGGTTTTCCATGCCAAGTACAGAGACTTGAAGACTGGCTCAATAGCATGTTTATGAGCCATAATAATAAGCATGTATTATATATGAAATATTATTGTACTGGATAATCCCACACATCTGTCTTTGTAAACTTTCTGTGCCTCCCCCAGGTAAACATTTTCTTAGTGTTTTGTTGGGGTTTTTTTTAGCATCTTCTAACACTTTGAAGGCTGTTAGAAGGTAATTTCTGTCTGTTAACAAACCAGAGGGGAAAAAAAAAAAAGAACTAGACAAAAACCCCTTTATCACAGCCACAACCGTATTTCCCTCTCTGTTCTGTAGGAACTCCCTATTTTTTCATGAGATCATAAGGAAATAGCATGCTGCTGTGTTTTAAGAAATGTTTTAAAAAGTACCCTAACAAAAAAACCCAAAAAACCCAAAACAAACAAAAAAACTCCAAAAGCCCCAAACAGTGTTATTTTTAGCTTTCTGTAATTTCATTAAACGGGTCTTTCCTCCTCAGAATAAAAAACGAAGCCTTCTCCTTTATGTGAAATGAACTTTTAGCTGTCATCTAAAGTAGTTGGGGGAGGAAGGGGGAGGATGGTAGGGCCGGGGGTGGGGGAGGGACGACGACATAAAGCATTTTTTTTTTCTCTAGAGAGTCCTTTCGAAAAAAAACCAATTGCCACTTTTTTTTTTTTTTTCCCCCGTGGTGAGAGGCATTTTGATTTATTGTCAGAAGCAAAATGGCCCGGAGAAAGAAACTCTCGAAGTCTTAATACAAATAAATAAATGAACAGATGAATGAATATAAAGGAGAGTGGTGAAGCGGGAAGGAGAAGGGGTCTCTGGGGGTGCGGAGGGATGCTGCTCGGCTCGGCTCGGCCGTGTCGCTCCGTGCCGTGCTCCGCCGAGCCGTGCCGTGCCGGCGGGGAAGCCTTGCATCACCGCCACGGGCCCGCTTCCCTCCTCCCTCTCTTTCGGAGAGGCTATTAATAGCATGACATCAGCCAGGGACTCGCCGCCAGAGTAAATACCAGCGCTGCCCGCTCGGCTATAAAAGGGGGGTGATGCAACCCAGGCGAGCGGCAGAGGAGCGGGGAGCCGAGGGAGCTGCTCTCCCGCAGGAGGCGGCGGAGCAGCGCGGACGGCAGCGCGGCGGGGCTGCGGAGCCCCTTCCCTCCTGCCCAGAGAGCGGCGGCGGCGGGAGGAAGGTAGGTGGGAGCGGGAGAGGAGAGGCCGGGACTGCCCGTGCCGGCGGGACATGGGGCTGAGCTCCGGGGAAGCTGTCCCGCCGCGGAGGGATGGATGCCCGCCGGGGGACCCGCGGCACGCCGCCGGCAAAAGTTTCGCCGCCCCGAGCGAAGTCGGGAGCGGCGGTGCCGCCGCCGGCCGGGAGAGCCGGGAGAGCCCCGAGCTCCGCCGAGCTCCGCCGGAGCCACTCGCCCGCCCGGCGGCGCCGGCTCCGTGCCGGAGCTCGCATCTGGGGGAACCCCGTGGCCCGGCTGCCGCCAGATGTGAGCGGCGGGGGGAGCCCGGCCAGCCCCGGCTGTCCCCGGGCCGGCAGCGCCGCGGAGGGCACGGCACCGGCACCCGGGAGCCGCGGGATGCCCGAGCGGAGCGGCCGCGCCCGGCGCTGGGGACAGCCGGCGGCGGCACCCGGGGACAGGGACACGGGGGAGCTGTGGCGGGACAGCCCAGGCGATGACAAACCCACACCGCTGCGCGTAGAGTTATCTCCGATATTCCCATAAAGCGAGGGGAAACTTCTCGTGACAGCCAGGGATATTCACTTTCCTTTCTCTCGGTGTCTCGATGCGAAGTAGATCAGTTGCTAAACTGTTGCCTAAGCAAATCAGGCGTGACACAACAGCCAACTTCTTTCAGAGAACGAGTTTCCTGTTGGAAATCGATTTTCCTCCTACTAACAGCACTTGAGAAGCTGGAAGGCAGCAGAAAATGGTTCTAGAGCGATGTGGGATGTCAGAAAGCTTAAGGTCAACTAGCGTGCGCAGAGGTTGTGAACTGTAATTGCTCTTAATGCTGTTAAGATTAACCTCAGCGGTTATCAGGGTTTATTGCATCAGCATCAGAGGAAAAGGAATTCGTATGAAGAAATAAAACCAAGAAGCACAGTCAGCCGTCCGCTGTTAAGCAACAAAAAACTGAAAGTAGTCACTTCCAATACTCAAACTGAACGAGGATATCCTTAAATAATGGAAGTGCACAGCTAGGCAGCATGTTCCGATTTTAAAATCTTGGCTGATGAGATGTGAAAGCTCATTGTAGATGAAAATAATCATCTGCAAAACAACAAACGAAAAAGCAGGGGGAGAAAGAAGGAGTTGTTTGAACCCACCTGAATTGGGAGGGTACCATGAATAGTAAAACTGTTGAGAATTCCAAAAGTTAGGCTAAAGTAATGAAGCATTAACTCAGCCCGGGAACAAGCTGTGCCAGTAACAGTGCAGGGCTGAGAAGCGTTCAGCACCTCCAGCGGCAGTAACTCCAGAGCATGTGCGTGGTCTAGCAAAGTAAACAGAGATTGGATCAGAAGGGCCACGATGGAATCACGCTCTAAGGCTTGATACTCTTATTCCTACAGTTTCCCCAGCCTCTGCAAACCCAGAAGAAATGAGATAGTGCTCTGCATGGCTTATAGACAGAGGGACAATTTGTACAAAAATCAGGACAAGGAAGGGCAACTTGTTGCATTTTTTTAAAGTGGTAAAACCTAATTTTCCTATTGTAAAATATTTCTAAAAACAGACTTGTTCCTCAGAAACTGCAAAGCACGTACCTTGTTGTTGTGGAAAGGGAGCATATTGAGCTTACGGAGGGGCTCTGACATAGGGGTGATTATTTCTGTCATTTGTATGGTGGTGGCTCCCAACAATCCCAGAGCAGACTGGAAGCTGCCCTACCAGGCAGTCTTCAGGAGCCCCACGCAAGAGCTGCAGGAAAGCAAACGAGTGGCAAACAGCTCTGCAAAACAGGACTCAGCTCACAGCAGAAATCCTTACAGAAGCCTCAGCCCCCGGGTAGACCTTCCCTCCCCAAAAGTGTTGGAGCAATTAGAGGTGCATTTCAGGATGACTGGGAGGGCAGTGAGCTGTTTGGGCAGGAGAGCAGCAAGTTCCTGTGGTCAAGGACACTTTCTCCTGCTCTGGGCACCCGACCATTCCTCTTTTCCACACTTGTGACAGGTGGGTGAGAGGACATGAAGCCATTATAGTAGGGTTTTGTTGGTGTTTGTGGTACAAAACCACAAATAGCCAATTATAAATCCACAATTGACACAAATTCTCAAGCACATTCTTGGTTTCCTCTGGTGCTGCTGCTGACCTTAATTAAAAGTTTGCCTAAACTGAAAAATTATTCAATAAACCAGCAGAGCTTGAAAATTATTAGCCCAACTAATTATTTTAGAGGCTGGAAAAACAGTTTTATTGTTACTTTAAGAATCCTGGTTGGACTGAGTTATACAGAATTAACTTTGTTGAATGAAGGCATCACCAGCATTCAAGGAGACTGAGTCAGTGAAAATAACTAAAATTTCTGCTGGCAGCGAGGGGTTCAGTGTCATCTGGAATTAGCCTGTTTAAATTAGTCAAATGGTTGAATGTTGGTAAATGGTAAATAATATTGGGAGGACTTCAGCTGGAAATTAATAGGGCCATTTCTGACTTGCTGGAAAAGAGTAACTGCTAGCTTTCTGAGATTATAGGATTAAACTGTATCAGTACTTTAAATGTGACTCATGAGCAGGGGCTTTCTGAAGAGAATTACATAAATTTCCCAAGGTCTTTCTGAATAACAAATTGTTCCAAATAATTTCCCCATCTTGAATAACTATGGGTGAAATCCTGGCCCCATTGAGGTCAACAGAAAAAGTCCTTTTGATTTCACTGGAGTCAGGATTTCACCCTGAGACTCTGGGAAATGTTCAGCTCTTCTGTGGTGACTGGGTGAGGAAGAGGTGAGGAAGACTGCAGTCAGACCTAATATTTTGCAGCAGCAATTCACCCTCTGATTTTTCTGTTTACCTCACTAAGCAGTGAACCAGGTTCTATTCTCATTTGTACCAGTGTGGATTTACAGTGTATTTTTAGATATCTGTAAGCAAATTCTGTCTTCTTGTCAAGGCACATGACCCCAAACATTTCTTGCTGGGTTCCAGAAGTAACATACAGGGAGCGGTGCAGTTCTGGGTTGAGCACATGGAAATTTAGCTTACCCATGCTGCTACCCCGAGGCAACTGTTTGCTTACCTGCACTAAGATAATTACAACTGACTTTTCTGTAATTATTGTGGGTCTAATCCAGAGCAGATAACACATACTGCAATTATCCATACAGTTATTAAAAAGAAACCCGAAAAAACAACAACAAAAATCTACACACCAAAGATAGCTGGAAAACCAACATAGTAAAATCCAATTTAACACAAGCCACTTTATGAACAAGGGAAGTATTGCAATCTGTTTTCCTGTGGATTTGCACCTTTTGTCCCTTGGATCACACACAAAAGGTGCTCAGTTTTCTTCCAGACCTCTTATCTCACCTCTGCTGGGCTGTGACTTGCAGGGATGTGTGCATCACCTAGTCCACTGTGTTTGGATGACTGACTGCTGAGTTTTGCCTCTTTCTCCCTCAGTGGGGCCACCAGTTTTCACAAAGCACGTAGGGCCTCTCTCCCTCCAAAACTGGATAAAAAAAAGATAAGAATGACTAAAAAGAGAAAAGTAGAGAACACTGTTGGATAGGTTTGTTTTCTTTAGAAATCTATTAGACATCAGGTTTCTCCATGGGTTTAGATTTGCGTAATTCCCCTAAAGACTCTTCAGTCACACTGGTTTATGTCAGCAGAAGATCCAGCCATAAATATTTAAGAATTTCAAGCCTCTTGTGGAGGGCACATAAGGACAGTTTCGAATTTTACAAGAGCAAAGGAATGAAACAAACGGCTTCACATTTTTCAAGAGTCAATCCCTCCAACTCAGCCTGTGCTGTGGAGACACAGAGTATGTAGAGACTTTTGCCTTTGTGACAACTCTTACCATTAACTATTTTTCAGGAGTTTATAGCCAAACCTACAACTGTGTGTAAAACTGAGTGTGATAATTCTGTGACATCCTGTTGTGGTTAGCAAGTTTCAGCTTCTAGTAGAGCTCATTGTAGAAGTGTAGATGAGATCAAGGTCTGCTCTGTCCATTTGAAGCTGGAATTTGTGGTGATGTAGCTCTGAATATGAAGATACTCTTACTCTCCTTCTATGCTTTAAATAATTTGCTTTCTGATTTTTGTTCTTATTTTCTTTCTCTTCCTGTTCACTTGATTTTCATTTGCCACACGCTACGAGTTTAAAATTTAGCAGTATACATACTTGCACACAATTTTTTAAATATTATGTTTCAGAAAGACCTAGAAATTGTGTCATGTGTTGATACTATTCTTAAATACTAACTTTGACTTAACATAAAGTTGAAGGTCTTTTGAGTGTCCAAATTCTTAACTGCTTGTCTCTGTTGAGAGATTGGGGTAGACTAGGAATGGGGACTGAAGCAGTGTGAGAGCTACAGTATTATTCACAGTATGAAATATACCTCTAAGAGATATTATTTCCCTTTCTAAAGTTGTTGAAACACTATCAATATTATCTCTTTTTATCTTTCAGCAAAATGATGGTCCAACACTCAGGCCAGGTATCTGCATTAGAAGTCAGCGCCTCCGCAATTGTTCCCACTTTGTCCCCTGCAGGGTCATTGGGGTTTGATGATTTCACAAATTTAACCCCCCTGGTGAAGGAGGAACTGAGATTTGCCATTCAGAACAAGCGTCAGTTCCACAGGATGTCTTCCACTTTGGACACAGTGACTGTCTCTGAAAGGCCAGTTGAAACATCAATGCTGAAAACAGAGGTAGGGCTCTTTAAACAGAATTTTCGTGTGAAGGATTAACTCTCTAACAAAGTTTTGCCACAAGACCAGTAATTGTATTAACTATAGGTAACCCTCTGTACCATACTTGTTTCCTTTTAAGCCAGCTGCTTGCCTCTCTGTTGAGTGCTTCATGCAAACCCTCTAGTATTTCTCATAGTTGGTTATTTTACTTTCAGTTATAGACTACAGACAATGTTTTACATGTTCTAATAACAAAGTGATTAGAACAAGTGCTGGTTTCCCTGCTCAGTGGTGGTTGAAGTTGGAAAAAGTCACTGCTGAAGTTCTGTTTCCCTGAGGACAGTCCAGCAGAACCTGTGGGGGTTAAGACATGGACCTGCTATGTCCACACTATATTTTCACTTAAAGATGATACTGTCCATGAAAAGCATTACTCTTTGAAAGTGGAGAAATTGCTTTGCTTAAGGAAAGAGCTACACCTTGGTCTGAACCCTGAAAGGAAACAGAAGGAAGTGTTTTAGTATTCCCTTTTTGGTGCTGCCTTTAATTCACTCACTTCTCATTGCCTCACTCATGACACATCCTCCACTCTGTTCCCTGTGCCCCTTCTCCTTTTTCTCCCTGGGAAATGGAGGAGAGATGGAGGTGGGGGAGCCTGGGGACATATTCCATAAGTTTTTTGAGTACCACTGATTTTAAATGTGCCATCATATAACCAGTCAGGTTTTTACTGACAATTCTAATGAAGTTCCTACCCTTCTACTGCATGGCAAACAAGGTCAGAATCTTATTTTTATGTAACTCATGATGTGAGGTACTGACAGCCCTCTCCACATTGATTTTAAAAATCGAGAAGTTATCAAAACACAGGTCTCCTGTTTACAACATCTTACAGATTGTATGTATCTGTTTTTGTGGGACAGTTTTCTCCTGAAGAGGATGAAAGAAAAAAGAGAAGAAGGGAAAGGAATAAAATTGCTGCAGCAAAGTGCCGAAACAAAAAGAAGGAAAAAACAGAATGCTTGCAAAAAGTAAGTGACTGGCAAGAATTGTTCTTAATCTGTCATCCTGCCAGGATCCAAACAGATAGCATAGGGTACTGTTATAGTAGGAAATCGGGAAGATGTCACCCAAAACTCTGTAAAATCTTAAAAACATTAGTTATGAAAAATAAACCTGCCATATATAAAATCCAAACCTGGTTGAAACTGGCATAAAGTGAAAGCATGGTAGGAGTGAAAAGAGATTACTGTTTCAGTGACCAATCTCTTCTATGGGGGTAATGTTAATTTGAATGTGTACAGTGAACACAAAAAGAAGTAAAATCATGTTTCATATTATTTCCTACTGTGGAGAGCCTGCAAGCACCTACAAGTAATTTCTGACTTCTTTATGAACAGAGCGGTGTGGAAGCTTGAATGTCCTAGAAGCCCAGTCACATCTTCACCTCCAGTTCTGTGATACAAAACTCTATTTCAGTTGCAGCAGGCCTGTATCAGGTATACAGGCCTGTATATTCCTCTCTCTAGGGACAGGGAAAAAAAGCTATGTTTGTACTTTGCTAGCTTAACATGGCTAATAATATGATATAATATGCTCCAGGGAGTTAAGAAGCAGTGTCAATAATTTTGGGTCAAATTTTGACCCAAAAAGCTCAGAATAATTTTGCAGAAGATAGCAATAATGCTTTGGGTATCTGTCACCGCAAGTGAATATAAGTTTGAATTTCACTTTTCAACTTCCATGACGTTCTCTAGAGACCAAAGGAGGTAACCCTCAATCTGGTTCTCAGGCCATTACTGACTGGGGAATGTACAGTTCCATCATTACAGCACACTAGGTACATGTGATTCCTTTCCCTGCCAGCCATACTCTTTCCCACCAATAAAAGACCACAACTGTAGGAAAAAAGCAGTGACTTCCTGCTTGAACTTCTCAGTGTAAAAGTTGTGTCTGTGCTTTTTGCTAGGAATCAGAGAAGCTGGAAACGATCAATGCGGAATTGAAAGCCCAGATTGAGGAGCTGAAGAATGAGAAGCAGCATTTGATATACATGCTAAATCTGCACAGGCCCACGTGTATAGTGCGTGCACAGAACGGAAGGACACCTGAAGATGAAAGAAATCTTTTTATTCAACAGATCAAAGAAGGCACATTACAAGGTTAAGTGATATGGCAAACATGGAAATATTTATAATGATTTTAACAGCTACCAGAATCCATGGGTGAGTCTGGCATAATGTGTAGGATTCTATTAGTCAAGAGCCTTTAGGAAGGGCAGATTGCTTTCACAAGTGGAAAGAATCATTTTGGCTTGACAGCGATTCTTGCCCTTGGAAGATCTGGTCTCAATCAAATCGAAGAGCCTTCTGCCTCAAATGTAGGGTTTGCACCTGTCATACTTGCTGTTCCTAGGAGCTACAGACAACAGCTCCGAAGTTTTAGCTCTCTGCTAGTATACAGTATCTGCACTCACGAGGTTTGTGCTAGAACACTATGACTTCCAGCGATGCACGTGGTACAGACAGCTGTGCTGGATGGACACTACTCTTCCTTGTTGCTGGTAGGGAAAGAAGACTGAGTATTTTTGAATTTCCAGGAGGATGGTTTCTGGCAGAATGTACTGATGTGTAATGTTGCATTCTAACCTAACACACACACACACAAAAAAATCCTGTCGTTCCAACTAAGCTTTGTTGTTTTTTTCCAGAATGCTCATGTGGGGTTTTTCTGTGACTCATCTCAGTGACTGAATTTGAAGGGTCTAGTAAGTGTGACAAAGAAATGTTTCTTGCAAAACATCTATGTAGGCTAGCTTGTATTTTATGAGCTATCACCCCAGATACTACCCCTTGGGGACTACAATTTTTCCTTGAATTGCTGAAGAGCATCTTGTACCGTCACTTATTGACTTGATGAATTGAGCCCACTGAATTGGAAAGAGGAAGCTAACTGTACTGGGGTATTGATAGAGGTTTTGCTCAAGTAAGGAACTGCAGGAGTGAATCCTAGACTCCTGAACCTTGAAAAAAATAAATGTTTTTAAAATTCATCCAGGACCTAATCCTACAAGCCTTAATTTGTGCTATTACTCCTCAGTCACAGAAGATGTTCCATGGATTTCAGTGGGTCTGCTCATGCAGATAGCTCTTACAGGCATAAGAGTTTGACAAAGCTTTTTCCATCCTGGTCAGGATTACTTCCTTTTGCCAGGTGGCTCAGAGGGAAAAATTATGATTGTAGCTACTTTTGTTTTATATTTGAGTGGCAACCACCGCCGATCAAAAGTGTTACTTAGAATCTAAAGGAAGCAAGAGTTTTGATGTAGTGAATAATTGTTTAATTTTTTATTAAATACTAACCTTGGATGTTTTTGAACTGGTAGAAGAGCTGCTGGACAAAACTGTTGGAGTTGTGAGTGTTGAAATTCTGATGTTTCTGTGAAATTCTCAGATTGTTTATTTCTATAAAATATACCCTTACAATTTTTTGTAAAAGAAAATCTTATCCTTATTTATCACTAATATCATAATGAGTAGAGCTAATAAATACTGCGAGCAAGATAAAACTGAAAACACAAGTGTTGCGCTGTCTTTTTACTTTTATCTCTTGGTGTTTAATATTATATATTCCTAAACTTCACCAGTTGTATTTGAGACACCACTATTAAAATTACTTATCCTTCATCTTTTTTGAAGATGAGGCACTGAGTGTCTTGAATGATTGGGTGCAGATATTGTACCTTCCAGAATTCTGTATCTCCATCAGTGGTGTCTGACTGTTGAATGTCACAATTTAAACAAAGCAGAATACAAGTGGAGCTTAACGTGCATAATATTTTACACCAGTCCGCAGTGTTGAAATTGTGTGTTTGTTCTAAAGGCTAAACTTGAAGATACCTCAGCCATGAGCTTCTTACCCTGCAAGTCTTGCATGAGTCCATCACATATTGTACCTGATCCCCATATGATTGTTATATTCTGCAACAGAACTACTTAGTACCATTTCCTGAGATCTGGATATATTGTAATGTCCTATATCACATGTTAAAGATATGTACTTCATGTATCTGAAAAGTAAATGTAGCACAGAGATGACATTCTAGGTCCAATTCTGTCTTAAGAATCCATGATCTTTCTGTATATTGGAAGGAGGTTCCATTGACTTCAGTGAGAATTTTTTTCCTGCTTTGTAAGCAGAGTTTGGAGCCTCTGTGGCAACTTCTCTGGCTTAAAAGGCAAGTCCTATGTGTAATTGGGCCAGCTGTTTACCAGACAATAGATATACATGGAGTGTGTACAGTAAACTTGTCAAACAATGTTCATTATTTGACCCCTGTAATGTGGAAATACAAAACCAAGGCATCACCCCGGTATCGTACACCTTGGCTTTGCTTTTTGCCTCTCCAATACCAGCAGACAAGGCTGTTTGTCTCATAATTGGTTATAAAGTGTTACCACAGAGACTGTAATGACAGAATTCATGTGTCTCCCTTAGGGGATTTGTATGGTTGCTTTTAACCATATCACCGGTGACGCAGGCGTCATGCTTTTGTTGCTTGATCTTATTTACTCGGCATGCCAAATGTTAATATGGTACCACTACTATTGTCAGAAGATAATCTATTTTTATTTCTTTACATGTGCAGTCATAACTGCTCTGTAGTGCTTTTGTATGTGTGTGTGTGTGTGTGTGTGCTGCTCTGGAAATGATGGTACTCAGGGTCACTTGACTGTGCCCAGGAAAAGAGTGTTTAAACAGCTACACAGAAATGGTATGTTGCATGAGTTTTCTCGAAGTATACTTTATTCAGGAGAACCTAAAAATGCATTAAAAAGCAGTTTATTTTCTATTCTCAAGTTTGTTTTGATACTTTAATAAAAAAGAATTAATATATATTTATTTACGTGTCATTTAATTCATTCTACATGTCAAAGTCCAAGAGCAACTTCATTCTCTTAAAACAACACTGAGCTATTAAAAAGCAAAGACTCTTTACCGGTTTGCAACAATAAACGCCTTATAAAGTGAAACTGGTACTGCTCACTGCTTCTCAAGGTATAAACAAAATTTTGTTATTGCAAGGTTGATTGTGAATTCCAAGCTAACTTCTTATTTGTGGCCTAGAGCTTAGATTAAATGACTGGAAAATAGAACTCCTAAACCTTTCCTAACCTTGCAACCAACCAGTTGATAGTTATTTCAACTTTCTGATTCTCTAATGAGTTTAATGCTTTTGCTACTGTGAAGCCTTAATATTTCTAGATTGCTTTCTGTAATTACATGGAAGATACTAAGGAAGTATGGCACGATTACGGCTTTGGTTTTTTTTCTCTGTGTCTGTGTATTGGTGTGTCTGGGGAGAAACATGAGGAAAGATGAACAAAATGTTCCTTCCTGCTTTTCCAAAACTGAGTATCTACACACCCAGACAGAAGTCGCTGTGTTTTGACAGCCGGTGATGTGGACAAAAACTTTTGGCTTCAATCCATTGCAAGCAGTCATAACTTGTAATACAGAGGCCAGATAGAAGGCTAGGAGCTCCAGGGATCAGGAAATCCATTGCTCTGTTGCAAAATCCAGTTAAAAATATCATCTGAAGGAAGATCGAGGCTACTCTGAGCTTGGCAATGTTGAATGCTTAATTTCCTCATTGGTCCATCCATTTACAGTTGTGCAGTCCCCATAAGTATATTCACCCTTTCATGCATTCTCCTATAGCTGCTATCAAACTCTACTTTTGAATACCCATTTCAACACTAAACTGGCAAACCTAAAAATCATCTGCCTGGCCTGGTTTAGAAAACCTTATCAACAAAACTGGGGCTACGATTTCCCGCACTGGTATTTTATAATTTTTTTAATTTTTTTTTTTTTAATTATATGAGTTGAAACCACGAAACCAGCATTGGTCTCTGACATATTCCTAATAGCTTAGTTGGTATTCCTTGAGCAATACATGCCATACCTTCTCCTCAGGTCTTGTTCTAGATGCTAAATCTCTGTTTCCAGGCCCATGTAGACCTCAAAGCATGCTGGGCTTTACACTGTACTTTGACAAGGAGCATCTTCTATTTCTTTTCTAGCTCTTTCCCTGACATAAATGAAAAAATAGCAATATTAAAGCTAGGTAGAGACAATGATTTATACAAGGCTGGAAATGTTTAATGAAACTGAACAGCAATGAATTTAAATTTGCAATAACTTTTCTACCTGGGCTCATTAGCCTTTGAAGTTATTGATTTAAGGGATGGTTTTGCTAAAGAAACTGGATGATTTATGAGTAATGAAAATAAAAGCATACAATTGTTTGTCACTAGCAAAAGAGTTTTGAAAATAAAATCTGCTTTGCCGTAGGGGACTCTCAAATCCAGGATGATGACTGTATCTCACACCCATTTTCCTTGGTGGTTTTGGTTTCCCTGCCTCTTTCCCCTCCAGCACAGTTCTGGTCTAGGTGCAAGTCTCATTCATGCTGGCCATCTCCAGGTTTCCATGTTTGCCCAGTGCCACCAGCTGGAGACACTGAGAATCATCACGGGATTAATGTGCAATAATATTAATTAACATAATTACTTTCTAACAGTCTCCATTAGTTTGTAATAACACCAATAGAATATTTTCATTTCTATAACAGATGTCATTCCTTTTTAAGTGTAGTTAAGATAATGAGTGACAATATTTTTAAAGAATCCTATTGTTTAAAGTTCATTTCCTTAATGGACACTCTGAGTCAGAACAGCTGACTCTAGGGATAAAAATAGTTATTTGTTAATTTTCAGTTAATATTCAGTTAATAGTTAATTGTTAATTAGATCTTCAAAGCCATCACAGTTAAAAAGAGAATTCACTGGAATCTATTCTTAATACAGCATCAGTTCTGGCTGCAAATATTTACTATTGCTGACAGTGATCCATTAACCAAAAAAAACCCCAGCCTAATGATTTTCAGACCCCAATGTAAGTGTACTAGAGCTGACACTCAAAAAAAGTTATTAGATCTATGAAACAAATAAATAAAAAATGGGAACAAACTGAGAGAGTTAAAGCTGAAGTACTTTTCCTCCTTTGAGAATTTAGAATCTTTATATTTGTAGACTCCACCGAAATAAGAGGTGCACTACCGTGCCCACTTAGTGGGAATGCCCACGCAGCAAATAGCAGTGCGGAATAGCAATATTTTATATAAGCTAGCTCAGTGCTGGGAACATCCCAGTGATGACAGCAAGAATCTGAGCACAGGCTGATTGGTGCCAGCCGGAGGATGAGCTCTCCGTGCAGCCGGAGCTCGGGCTGCTGCCGGCATCTGAGGTGGCTCATCCAGAGCCAGCTCGGGTCTCGTTCTGTTCCCCAGGTTAGCACGGCACGTAGCTGCCTGCATTCCACCTAAGCAGCTCCACCAGCTCACTCCAAGGGCCCACCCAGCCCACTTCTCTTCCTGCAGCTCTGATCAAAAGCAGCTGTCCAAGGAAGAATAAGAACAGGGCGAGTATGCCTCCCCTGGGTGCTTTCCCACACCAGCTATTTTCAGCTGGTGAGTCACACAGGCTTTCCATGAATTCTTTAGGTAGTACCCTTCCACAAATCTTTCTGTCAAATGTTTTGACCAGTTTCTCATCCACAGTACCAGCATCTGCAGTAACTTCTGGCAGCAAGTTCCATAGAGCTATCACCACTTATAAGAAGCAAACAGTTCCTTTTTGTTTGACCCTGTTCCCAGTGACTCTACTTGTCCTAGCCTAAGCAGTCTTTTCTTTTTTCTTTTTTTTTCTTAAATTTTATTTTGGCAGACATTTTACGTCTTTGATTATTCCTCTTACCCAGTTTTTCCTGGGAAAAGCGTGGCTTTTCGTAAGATAAGAGAAACCCTTTCCCTAGCCATTCCCTCACCCTTTAACACAAAAGAACTGTAACTCCATGTGGTATTCAAGCTGTGGTCAAGCCATGGATTGATTCAGAAGGATCTTGATGTTCACTGTCTCTTTCCTAAGAACTCCAGAAATTAGGTTTGCAGTTTTGATGAATGCCCAGCATTAAGTCTCACACAATTCAACAATCTACCATAATCCCAAGATCTCCTTCCTGAGTAACAATGATAAATTCATGCCCAAGTCTTCATATATGATGCTAGGACTGACTTTTCCTAAATTACCTCATGTTTAATTACACTAAATTTTGTCTGCCATTTTAATTCCCAAAATGTAAATATAAAGTCTTCCTTCCAGTCTTCTGAAACTGCCTTTCTTCTGTCTGTCCTGAGTAAAGTTGTACCATTATCAACCTTCCTGCTACATTACTCATGCTCTTACCAGACCATTTATGAAAGTGTTGAGCTGTGCAGGTCCCAGTAAATTTTTCTGTGGAACATCACTGGATGACCTGCCCCTCATGGGAGAGTTCATAGCTTAGTTTTTACTCTTGTTTCTACCTTTTAATCACACATTTGCATTTTTTCTAGTCATAACTATTCCATTTCTTGAAATAATTATTTGTTGAGTGAGTTTACTGAAGCCTCTTTAGAGGTGTCATAAAATACACCTACTGAATCTCCCTGATCCACGTATCTGCTGCCAACCCTTTCCAAGGACTCCAGATGTGCCTGGAAACCTGAATTAAATTTTATAAAGTCCATTCTGACTCTCTTCAAGTATTTATCTAGGTACCTACTAATTGATGGTTCCTTTATCTTAATTCCCATTAACTTGCCTGTTCAGATTACAGGCATTACTGTTCCTTGGATTCTGCTGGAACCTTTCATAAAGTTTGGTGGCATACTTGCCACACACAGTCCTCGGATACCGATAAAGATTAAGCCAGAGTGACAGTGAGAGTGTTGTGCATTTTTATATTTTTAGTATTTCAGCAATTTTCTTTTTCCATTTTGTTTGAGCCTTTTACTGAAATCTCGCTCAGTTAGTGCTGATTCTTCTCAAAAAGTCAACCTATAGTGACTTCAGTTTCAGACAGATCCTCTGCTTGTTTTCTTCCCTTTGCCCTGTCCTGGAGAGGGTTCTGGCTGGGAAATGCTCTCTATTTCTTCAACTTCTCAGCCCTCTGAGTGTTCCCTTTGTACCCTGATCATCAGCTCTCACTAGACTTTCTAGCAGGTTAATTATTACTAATATATCTGAAGGGTGATTTAGTGTTCTTTTCAGTTCCTTTAGCTGCTCTGTTCCCCCAGCATTCCTCTGACAGGCTTCTGCCCTAAGTGCCATGTCCTGAATGTCCCTGCAGTGGGGTATTCATCACCCTCAATCTCATTTGGAGCTTTTAGAGTCTGTCAGCTACTCCAAGATTTTCTGTGGCATTAGAGTCATTACACATCTAATTATCAGATTTTAATTCCTGCCATGCTGTGTGACTCAAACATACAAACTACCCAATCCCTCTGTTCCTCCATCTGAAAGACAGGGATAATAGCAAACACCATTCTTTCTACCCTTTTTTCATCCCAAGGAAAATAAAATCCTTTACTTTTGAAGGCTGGGTCTTTTGAATAAACCTTATGAAGATTCACAAATTGTGTTAAGTCACTAGAAAGCTCCTGAACAGAAGAGTAAATTTTATAGCCACGTGATTACTTACAGTCAAGTGACACCATCCAAAACACCAGTAATTAATGGCTCTCTACCCAACCCCAGGAAAACTTAGTGTTTTGGGGTCTTTTGGTTAGTGGGGAGCGGGGAGGATGTTTGTTTTCTATTATTCTTTTTTGTTCATTTATTTGTTTGAGTTTGGGAATTTGTGTGGATTTGGGTTTTTTTTGTTTTCGTGTTTTACATTTCCTGTCTTTAACAGTAATATCAACACCACAAGTGTAAAGAATCTATGAATCAAATATGCATTAAAAGGTAAAAGAATCTTCTCTATAAAA